CCCACTTCGCTGGCATGAAGACCTGAGACCCCCAGAACCCACAGAAATAGAAAGAACATTGTAGCATGCTTGTATTCACCCCTGTGCAGGGGAAGCCGAGACCTCGGATCTCTGGGTATTGCTGGCCAGTCAGCCAGTCTAGCCTACTTGGTAAGCTCTGGCACAAATGAGAGTCTGTCTCCAAAAAGAAGAAGGAGAAGAAGAGGAAGAGGAGGAGGAGGAGGAGGAGGAGGAGGAGGAGGAGGAGGAGGAGAGGAAGAAGAAGAAGAAGAAGAAGAAGAAGAAGAAGAAGAAGAAGAAGAAGAAGAAGAAGAAAAACAACAACAACAACAACAAGAAGGGTGAAGAGCTCTTGAGCAACTGTAGTCGTTACAGTTGACCTCTGGCCTCCACATGTACTCTGGCACACATACATATGAATCCCTCACACACACTTACCCATTTACACACACACACACACACACACACACACACACACACACACACACACACATACAAATTCATGCTTTAAAAAAAAGATTTGCAGGGAGATATAAAGCAAGACAATGAACCCCACAGGTTTCTGGAAGGCTGAACAACGGCAGAAGACTGAAGCCATGAAGAAGTTAGATCTGTGAGCAGGGCAGGGCTGGAGTGAGCGGCACAGGTGGGGAGGGTTGGCTGTACCTAGTCAGAGAGGTGAAGGGACGAGGGCAGATCATCTCAGCATTTAATCACCTTGACTTTACTCTCACAGAGATAGGAACAGACTTGATGTCACAGAGAACTGAATTTAAATATGAGATCAGACATTTAGTAGCAGTGTGCCCCCCTCTCTTTCTCTCTTTCTCTCTTTTTCTCTCAAGTGTTAGGATTACAAATGTGCACCACCATGCCCAGTTCCTGTTCCTCTTTCAAATTTTCACCTTGTCTAAGCTTTAATAGAGGCCTGGTTGTCTCAGTGACCCACATAAATCACTGGACATTCTGTTCTGAAATTAGCATCGATATAGGAGAAGCAGGCTTCCTCCAGTCATGACCTCACAGAACACTTATCATTTGCCAAAAAAAAAAAAAAAAAAAAAAAACTACTACTATAACCTCAGTCACCCAAGGCAAAAATCTGGACAATTCTGACTCTGTCTTCTCTCTCCTCCCTCCATTTTCTGGTCGTTAAACCTATTCTGTCTTCTCATCCTTCTCCTTCTTCTTTAGGACAGAGTCGCAGGGGAGGGGCTATAGTTTAGTGATAAAATACTTGCCTCAAATGCATGATGTCCTACGTTCAGTCTCTATTATGTCAAAAAATATTCCCAAAGAGACTGGGTTTTATGTATGCTGAGCCAGCTTCAAACTTATCTGAAGTCCTAATCTTAATGCCTCCAGCTCCTGGGTCCTGGGATTATAGGTGAACATCTTCATCACTCTGCATTCATCCTTCAACTGAGGACTTCACATACGCAAGTCGACCTACACTACTATGGCCTTTAATTCAGGGTGGGGGACAGCATGTAGCCCATGCTAAGTCTTCCTTTGTCTTCCGAGTGCTGGAATTAAAAGCATGTGCCACAAGGACCTGCTTATTTTAAATTCCATTTATTGTTTATTCTTGTGTAGGGGCACACATGTGCCATGGTATAAATATGGAGGTCAGAAGACAACTTTTGTGACTCTCTCATTCCAATGTTTGCATCCCTGATAGACAAGGCATGTTATCAGGCTTGGTCCAGACATTTTTTTTTTTTTTTTTTTTTACCTACTATGGCATAGCACCAGCCTTTTATTGTTTTGTTTTGTTTTTACTAGCATATATTAATTACACATAATCATGGGCTTCATATGACATTTTCACATGCGTACAGAATATTTATTGCTCCTAGCCATACATACCCCACTAATCTCTCTAGCCCCTCCCCAATCCCACTGATTCCCCCCACTCCTTCCTGACTAGTCCCCCTTTCTACTTCCATTTTGGTTTCCCCAGTGTATTTCATTGGTTTTGCTTACAGGAGCATGTGTGTTTTATTGGTAGCTCGCGGCACTGAGGAAAATGTCCCTCCTTCACCTATTAAACTTTAATTGCTGGAAGTCTTTAGGGAGGGGTGGGGCCTCCCAAACCTCTCCCTTCTCTCTGACAGGACGGGCCCAATCTTAAGCAGATCTAGTATAGGTAAGCACAACACTGTGAGTTCAAAATGGCGATGACCACACCATGCCCGGAAGTCAACATTTGACAGCAGGAGCACCACCCCTTCCTCAGGCCTCCTCTTCTGTGATGCTCTCTGAGCTGTGGAGTGTTACTGAGGCCTCTCTCACTCATGGCTGAGCATCCAGCAGTCTCTAGTCTTATCCCTCTGACCAGCTGGTGAGAAGTGACCCCTGCCCATTGCAAAAAGAAGCTTCTCTGAAGAAAGCTGAGAGCACTATTAACCTATACCTACAAACATATCTATTTGAAGGCAATTTGACTGGTACCTCATGTCCTTCAGCAAAACAACAGCAGTGTCTTCTACTAGTATCGGTGACCTCACAAGCCACAGGCTTTTGACTAGGTTTACAGCACCAGATTGGAATTCCTCCTGTGGTGCAGGCCTCAAGTCCAACCAAAAAGTCTTAATAGTTAGTTCCTCCATATCAAAAGTGTCATGGGGTTGGTGAGATGGCTCAGCAGTTAAGAGCACTGACTGCCCTTCTGGAGGTTCTGAGTTCAATTCCCAGCAACCACACAGTGGCTCGCAATCATCTGTAATGAGATCTGATGCCCTCTTATGGGGTGTCTGAAGACAGCTACAGTGTACTTACATATAATAAATAAATAAATAAATCTTTGGGCTGGAACAAGCAGGGCGGGAGTGAGCAGAGCAAGCGGGGCCAGAGCGAGCACCAGCAGTTTTGCTTGTCTGGTCTGTAGTGTTGCATGTAGGTTCATAGTATGCTCTTTCTCCCCCTCCCTGCATGGTGTGTGTGTGTGTGTGTGTGTGTGTGTGTGTGTGAATTTTGAGACAGAGTCTCATTGTGTAACCATGGCTGGCCTGGAACTCACTAACATAGCCCACACTATCCTGGACCTCACAGACATCTATCTGCCTCTGCCTCCCATGCCCCACCTGGACTGGCTCACCATGCTGTTCAATATCATCAGCTAATGAATAGAGTGGTGGCTCACACTCATGATTGTCCTGAGCCCTGAGTTCCAGGAAAGCTTGGGCTACAGTGTGAGACCAAGCGTCTCACATTACTTTTTCATTACCCTTTTAGAACATTGCATTACAGATGTTATTAGTATTATTTACAGCGCTGGGGATCAAACCTTAGGCCCAAAGCCCTGTACCACTGACCTATATAGCCCTGCATTTTTCTTTTTTTCTTTTTTCTTTTTTTTGGTTTTTCGAGACAGGGTTTCTCTGTGCAGTCCTGGCTGTCCTGGAACTGCCCTGCATTTTTCTTAATCTTAAATACTCAATTTCTTGATGTTGTCTGGACGTCATAAGTGATAGTGTAGATAAATACAGAACTAGATCATTCCATGAGTAGAAAGAAAGAGGTATTGGAGGTCAAACTGTCAATGTCTCAGGATGGGGTGGCAGAAAGAAGAGCAAAATGGCAGAAAAGCAAGCCGATTTTATGTGACAGCAGGGTGGCGCCTTGAGCTGATACAAGCTGCCCAGACTGACTGGGAACCAGGTGCCCTTGCCTGAGGAAGATGATCTTTGGGGAAATGTTAAGGGGAAAGGGGTTCTGGAGAATTAGGGGTGTCTCACCCTACTCAGTCCCTTATGTGTTTGTAACATGTACAGGGTTCAATAAGTACTTGTTGAATTTAAAATCTCCATTTATTATGTATGTATTTGTTTATTTAATGTATATGTATGCCAAAATGTATGTGTGCCATATATGTCATTTATGTCCTGTATAGGTGTCCATGGGTGCCAGATGAGAGTGTCAGATCCCTTGAAACTAGAGTTACAGGTGGTTGTGTTAGGGACTGAACCTAGGTCCTCTGAATAACAGCAAGTGCTCTTAAGTGCTTCGCCATCTTCCTAGCTCCTAGTTATTTATTTATATTTTGTATGATGAGTGTTTTTCAAGCCTGTATATATGTGTACCACACGGATGCAGTGACTGACGTGGTCAGAAGAGGTAATGGATACCCTGGAAGGGGAATTATAAATGGTTGTTAGCCACCACGTGGGAGTTGGGGACCTCTGTGAAAACAGCAGGGGCTCTTAACTGCTCAGCCATCTCTCTAGCTCTAATTAATTAATTAATTAATTAATTAGCTAACTAATTAAACTTTGAAAAATCTCACAATTTTGTTTAAGCGTTGAATAGCTCTGGTGGAGAGACTCTTACCGCAGCCTCCTGAGGTTCTCAGATTTGGGCCGTGCCTGGTCCTATGTATTTAAAGTTGTGGTATGCACAGTAAATTGAACAAGTTTGCTGTCGTTTTGTATTAAACTTATGGGCTTGCACACGTCAGACAAGATTCTAGCACTGCGGTCTATAAGTACACAACACTGTGCTTAGCGTTTCCGATTTACAACACCCCCCCCTTATTTTTTAAATTTAATTTAATTTTTAATTTATTCTCTTTACATTCTGCTGCCAGCCCCGGACCCTTGCCTCCCTTCTTTTTCAATGCGACTCTCCCTCTTCGCTCCCCCCAGTGGCTGAGTTCAAAATTTAAATATAGTATCCAATCAGTTTCAAGAGATCTGATCAAAACATCCAGGTCGTCGAAGTTGAAAAAAAAAAAAACAAAAAACAAACAAACAAAAAAAAATCAAAAAACCATATCCTAGAGCTGTCCTATGACGTAAAAGCCTACAGTCACCTCCCAGGGTACTACTCTAGACTAGGACCCCAAAGCAACAGCAGCCCCACACCTTGCGCGTGCGCTCTTGCACATCGGTGCCAGAAGGCGGGCGCGTTCCTTGCCATCTCGGCACCCTTACTTTTTGGTGCGGTAGCGGAGAAGTTTCCTGTCCCTCAGCTTCCTACCGGAAGTGCTTTAGAGAATGTTTGGCGGTTTCTCTGGATCTGTGCTTGCGGGATTTGGGGGTGCGGATTGCGGGTGTGCACGCGTGGATTTAAGTCCAGCTTTGCAGGGATCTGTAGCGCGAACGGAGACGTGTTGCTAGTGTAAGTGCACACGTGTCCCGGATCCCCGCGTGGGAGGACCGGTGCAGTCACTTTAACTTCACGTTTCCCTCCTGGCTGGTTTGCAAAGGCGTTTTCAGAAAGGCAGAACCAGTTCTAGTGAGATCTCTGCGTGTGCCTTGGGGCCCTCTCTGAGTCTCCATGGCCTCTGCATAGAATGAAGGGTATACAAGGTCCTTAGGTCCCTTTCGGCTCTTTTGTTTTGGGTTTTTTGAGACAGTCTCACTGTGATGCCCTAGTTGGCCGGGATTTGCTATATAGACCAGTCTAGCCCGAAGCTGCAGCCGTCTTCATAACTCGGTCGCCGAGTGTTGAGATTACAGATGTTCCCTCAACACCGTGGGCTTTTATTTCTTTACGTTTGGATAAGAGGCCTCTCATCTTAGCCCAAGGTGACGTCACCTTTTTTTGAATATGTATGTCGGTTTCATTTGAGCCAGCTAGTGGGTGGGGGAGACGAGGGTGGTTAAATGCCCTTGGTCTTATTTTAAAAGAGAGGTTTCGGAACAAGGGGTTGCATAGTTGCCTCAAGATTACATAGAAAACGTTTATAAGGTTCAGAGCTTGAGACTAGATGGTTATTCCATATCACCGGGGCTAGAACCGGTTCCTGGAACCGGCTGTATAAGCAGATGTTCAAAGTTATGAATGAATGAGCTTTGGTTTCAAGGCCAGTGCCACAGCAAACAGTGTGTGAACAAGTGTGATTCTTCCAGGTGTATCCCGTGCTTACCCTGTTGGAAGATCTGTTTGCAGTTCTGTTGTCGTCTTGAACCTAATTAGAGGCATCATGGAGGCACCTCCAGTCACCATGATGCCAGTCACTGGGGGCACCATTAACACGATGGAGTACCTCCTGCAGGGTAAGTCAGCCAGGGAGCTTGCATTAGCAAGTTTTCATTTTTTTTCTGGTTAGAGCAAGCCGAGATGACTTAAAGGCAACTGCACTGTTCCTGTCACCCAGTAAGTAACTATGTTTAAAAGAGGGTGGATGGGAAGATGGCCCAGTGGCCAGAAACTCACTGTAGACCAGTCTGACCTCAAGTGCCTGGAATTACAGATGTGTTCTACACTAGTCTGTTTTCTTTCTTTTTTCCTTTCTTTCTTCTCCTCCTCCTTCTTCTCCTCCTCCTTCTTCTTCTTTCTTCTTTTTCTATTTTTGTTTCTCGAGACAGGGTTTTCTTTGTGTAGCCCTCACTGTAGTTGAACTTGTTCTGTAGACCAGACTGGCCTCAAACTCAGAACTCAGAGATCCACCTGTGCTGCAATTAAAGGCACAAGCCGCCACCACCTGGCTTTCATATATTTTCTTTCTTTCTTTCTTTCTTTCTTTCCTTCTTTCTTTCTTTCTTCCTTTCTTTCTTTCTTTCTTTCTTTCTCTCTTTTCTTTTTTTTGTTATTTGTTTTTTGTTTTTTTTGTTTTTTGCTTTTTGAGACAGGGTTTCTCTGTGTGGCCTGGCTGTCCTGGAACTCACTCTGTAGACCAGGCTGGCCTCAGACTCAGAAATCCGCCTGCCTCTGCCTCCCAAGTGCTGGGATTAAAGGCGTGCACCACCACCGCCCGGCAGCAGATTTTTAAATCTTATTTCATCTATATGAGTGTGTTGCCTGCCTGTGTGTGTCTGTCAGACAAGTGTGTCCAGTTCCCTGAAATTGAGTCGTAGGTAGTTGTGAGCCACCGTGTGGGTGCTGGTGGAACCTGAGCCCAGGTCCAGTGCTCTGAGCTCCTGAGCCACCTCTCCAACCCTCAGGCTGACCTCTGGCTGGGTGGCCAGGGACAGTTCTGACCTTCTGACCTTGCCTAACTACATACATTTAGTGTGCGTGCTGACTGGGCTGTAGCTGTTGGTGAGGTTTAACATTGTTATGTCATACTTCATTCATTTTGGTATGAATCTCAGTAAGTTCCTGCTTTTTGTTGCTCAGTGACCTCTAATGTATATCTGAGCACATCATAGTGCCCTTACCTCTCTTCCTACAGTTGGCCTGGCATCTGGTCTACTTCTAGTTTTTGGCTACAATGAAAACAGCTGCAATAGGTCAAGGGACATGCTCTTTCCCTTCATTATGTGGGTGCTGAGGATTGAACTCAGGTCATTAGGCTTGGCAGCAAGCACCTCTACCCACTGAGCCATCTCATTGGCCCCTCCTAAATGTTCTTGAGTAAACATTTAAATTTTGGCCTTGAACAATTGGCTTGTATCTTTTTATTTATTTTTGGAGACTCAGTCCTATTATTATTATTTTATTTTAAGATTTTTAAAATACCATTTTTAATTCTGTGTGCATGTGTTTCAGGGTACCCATGCATGGGAGGCTGGAGGTGTTGGGATCCTTGGAGTTGGAGCCACTTGTTGTGGGTGGGACTGAACTCTAGTCTCTGGAAGGGCGGTACAAACTCTACCACTGAGCTGTTTTCCAAGTTTGACTCTTGCAGCGACTCCACTGCCTCAGTCTCCTCAGTGCCATCATCCTGGCTCAGTAGAGTAACACAGCTTTGTTGTTGTTTAATCTTATTTTTATAGTGCTAGGCATGGAACCCTGAGCTTTGTGCATCAGTTCTTGACCACTAAGCGCCCTCCCTCAGCCTTGGTCCTCCAGGACCCTTGATCAAACCCAAGGCCTTGCATCCAGAACACATGGTCTCCCACAGGTCTACACCCAGCTACAATGATTTATTTCCAGTCAATGAAATTCTTCCATTTATGGAACAAATTAAAATTTTCCTTTTTATATAATTATACTTGAGAACACCCCTTTAATCCTGGTAAGGCAAGCAGGTGCTGGAGCAACAGCTCAGAGCTACAGCCTGACCCACTGACAGAGAAAGATGGGGGCCAGCTTTTGAAAACTCCCATTGACACACCTCCTCCAACTAGGACATTCCTCCTAGTCCTTCCCTAAATAATACCAAGTAGAGATTAGACATTCAAATACAGGAGCCCGTGGGGGCCTCTCTCACGCAAACCACCACCAGGCATTTGCTGCTAAGTCTGACAACCTAGGGTCAATCTGTGGGACCCACAGGTGGAGAGAATCAGTTCTAGCAGGTTATCTTCCAAACAACATTTACGTGCCATTGTATTCGGGTGTTTGCCGAGACAGGAATGACTAAATATAAAAAAGGTTTGAATAAACAAATAAATAGAATCCTGTGGATTGTTCTTATGAAACGTATAGAACTTTCCATTTGGTGTGTGTATTTATCTTTTGCTAGTTTCATGACCCTAAATGACGTGAGAGCCTGGACTCATTGTGTTTTTGCCTCTTCAGGAAGTGTTTTAGACCACAGTCTGGAAAGTCTCATCCATCGCCTCCGTGGTCTGTGTGACAACATGGAGCCCGAGACTTTCCTCGATCACGAGATGGTCTTCCTGCTTAAGGGCCAGCAGGCCAGCCCATTTGTCCTAAGGGCCCGGCGCTCCATGGACAGGGCAGGGGCGCCCTGGCATCTTCGTTACCTGGGACAGCCTGAAATGGGAGACAAGAACCGCCACGCCCTGGTGCGCAACTGTGTGGACATCGCCACATCTGAGAACCTCACGGACTTCCTGATGGAAATGGGCTTCCGCATGGACCATGAGTTTGTCGCCAAAGGACACTTGTTCCGGAAGGGCATCATGAAGATTGTGGTATACAAGATTTTCCGAATCCTGGTCCCAGGGAACACAGACAGCACCGAGGCCCTGTCTCTCTCCTGTCTTGTGGAATTAAGTGTTGTCGCCCCAGCGGGGCAGGACATGGTCTCTGATGACATGAGGAGCTTTGCAGAGCAGCTCAAGCCTCTGGTTCACCTGGAAAAAATAGACCCCAAAAGACTGATGTGATAAAGACAGTCTATCCGCCTGGGAGGCCTGCCCTTGCCAGGGAGGTGAGAGGCCTCACAAGTGCCCCAGGTACTGCTGCCAGCTTGGCCTGCTTCCTTCGGGAAGATGGATGGGGAGAATTTGGTTCCTTTGAACTGTTTTCTTCACTTGATAATTTCATTTTCTTTTTCTTTTTCTTTTTTTTTTTTTTCAACAGGGTTTTACCATGTAGCCCTGGCTTCCTTGGAATTCGCTACATAAACTAACTAGCCTGAAACTCAGAGGTCCCTGTACTTCCTGCCTAAGTGCCCTAAGTTAAGGGTCCTTATTAAACTTGACTGTTCATCTTCTTGATAGGCTTTTCCAAGGAAAGACCCAGGATAACATAGAGATTTGTTCAAGTCCTCCCTCCACTCAGAAAGAGGGAACTGGAGTAAATTAGCTTTTCAGAGGAAACGGTCAAAAAACAACTCTGATAATTGTTTCGCTTTTTCTTTTTTTTAGAAAAGCATTTTCTTATTCCTTTATTTATTTGTCGTTCATGTTTTTAGTTGTGTTTTGCCATTAATATACAAGGTTTATAATGGTGGTGTGAGCTGGCATTGTGTGGTAATAAAGACTGAAAAGAGTCAGTTGTGATTCTGATTCTTACTCGACTCCTTACTATTCTGCTTCTTAAGTATTTGCTATTACTATTATTGTTACTGTGTATGATGCCTGTGGGCCACACCTGTGAAGGACCAGAGGCCTCTCCAGGACCCACATGGGAGAAAGAACTGACTCCTGCATGTCACAAATGTAATCAAAAACATTCAAGCAGCTAGTGATAGAGAGATGGCTTAGCTGTTAAAGAGCACTGGCTGCTCTTGCAGAGAAGATCCAGGCTTAATTCCAATCCCTACTTGGTTGCTAACTGCAGTTCTAGGTGATCTGATGCTCTCTTTTGAACTTCACAGGCACACAGTACACAGACATGTTCAGGCAAGAAAAGGGCCAGGTGGCGGTGGTGCATGCCATTAACATTAGTCCTACCACTCAAGAGGCAGAGGCAGGCAGATCTGTGGTCTACAGAGCAAGCTCCAGGACAGCCAGGGCTACACAGAGAAACCCTGTCTCAGGACAAAAAAAGCTCATAGTCTTACACTTGAAAATCAGATATTTTTCTCTTTCTTATTTTTTTCTTTTAGTCATTTTCTTTTTGATTCTACATTTCTTAGGAGTCTTACCCAGGACAAACAATCCCAGTGACATTCACTGTTGGCTCCCAGCAGTGCTTCAGTGCGCATGAGGTCAGAGGACAGCTTCCAGCAGTTCTGTGTTTTCACCACACGGGGCCTGAGTGGAACGCCGGTTGTCAGGCTTGGCAGCAAGCACCTTTATTCACTTTTCCTTTCCAGATGAGTTCTCTCACAGCCTGCAGCTCAGTTTCATCTAGACAGACTGGCCAGGGGCCCCTTGGCTCTCTTCCCCTCACCCTCCCCGCAGCAGGATTACCAGAAGTGAGCCACCACCTCCAGCTGGTGCACTGGACCTGAACTCAGATTTCTGAACTGGCTCAGCAATGCTGTACCTGCTGAGTTATAGCCTCAGTCCCTTGCAATTTTTCTTTGTAGAGATGTTTTAACCTTTTGTGAAAGTAGTATATTTGAGCCATCCTGTTGTCAAAGGTATCAGGAAGGCTGAGACAGGAGGATCACAAATTCAAGGTCAGGGTGAGCTACATAGCAAGATCCTGTCTCAAACCGCCTCAAAACACACACATAATCACACACGGGAAAAGCACATTTTTATTGATGGAGCATTTTAAAACCAATAAAATATCAGAAATGGTTCTTTTGTTGCTATGCCTGTTGCATGTGTAGTTGTGGAGGTCTGCAAACCACTGCCTGTATACTGTGTTTGCTAGTTTTTAGAACTTAAAACATTTTTTTTTTCTCAGCCAGGCATGGTGACTGAGCCTTCAGCTAGGCATGGTGGCCCAGCATGCAGGAGGCAGAGAAAGACAAATCACTAAGTTTGAGGCCAGCCTTGTCTACAGAGCAAGTTCCAGGACAGCCAGGGCTACATAGAAGAACCCTGTCTCAAAAAAAAAAAAAAAATATTGACAATCAAAATTTATTTCATGATTTCTCTTTTTGTTTGTTTGTTTTGAGACTCACTGTGTGGTACTGATTGGCCTGAAACTTTTTCTTTTTTTTTTTTTTTTGTTTGTTTTTTTTGTTTTTTCGAGGCAGGGTTTCTCTGTGTAGTCCTGGCTGTCCTGGAACTCACTCTGTAGACCAGGCTGGCCTCGAACTCAGAAATCCGCCTGCCTCTGCCTCCCAAGTGCTGGGATTAAAGGCGTGCGCCACCACCGCCCGGCTGGAACTTTTTCTATACCAGGGTGGCCTTGAACTCACATAGATCCATCTTGCCTCTGCCTCCTGAGTGCTGGAGTTAAATGCCTGTGCCAATATCCCTGACCATAACTCACTTTGGATCTTAGTTTGTCATTCAAAGTATTATATGAGGGATGGATTATAGCCCAGTATAGACTGCTTGGCTAGCATGTATAAGATCTTAGGTTCCATAACCAATACCACTCAAACACAAAAACTTACACAAACTGTCAAACGAGACAGTTTTTCCTCATTCGTTCCAGCTATCAGAGAAGCTGAAGTCTGAGAACACATGAGTCCAGGAACGTAAGATCCAGTTTGGACAATATAGCAAGACTCAGGTGGGGGTGGCACACACCTTTAATACCAGCATCAAGAGACAAAGGCAGACAGATTTCTGGGAATTCAAGGCCAGCCTGCTCTACAGAGTGAGTTCCAGGTGAGAAACTGTCTAAAAAAGTTTTTTAAATAACCCCAAAACGTGTAAATGTGTGTGTGTGTATACATATATATATACACACATGTATGCAAACATACACATACATATATAAATATATATATACATACATACATACATACATACATACATACATAATTTCCAAGGAAACAAAAAGATGGGAGACAGGAAGGGAGGAGGAACAGAGGCAGAAGAGCCAAGGGAACAGAGAAGGGAAGGCAAGATGGCTCAGCCAGAAAACATATACCTGCTGTTAAGCCTGAGGAGCTATTTTGATCCTTGGGACCACATGATGGAAAGAGAGCATTGATTCTCAAAGATTGTCCTCTGACCTCCACACATGCCCTAGCACACAGACATGCATGGGAAAACACTACATTTAAAAGAGAGAGACTCCTAACCAGATGGGTGGTACATCTCCAGTTCTAGCTCCATGGAGGCTGAGGCAGGATTGCAAATTTCAAGCCAGTCTGGAACACATAAGAAGTATCCCTCGGCCAGGCATATTGGCACATGGCTTTAGTCCCAGGGTTCGGGAAGCAGAGGTAGGCAGATCTTTTAAGGCCAGCCTGGTCTCTAGAGCAAGTCAAAGGATATCCAAGCCTACACAGAAAAACCCTGTCTTGATAAACAATAACAAGAAGAAAGAGGAGAAAGAGGAAGGGGGGGGGGGAGAAAGAGAAGGGAGGAGAAGAAAGGAAGAAGAGGAAACGGAGGAGGAGGAGAAGTGTTCCTTCATGATCTTGGCTTCCATTTATAGCTCTCCAAGTTCTTACAGTGAGGGGCTGTAACCTGGGGGTTGTAAGATAAAATAAGCCTTTTATTTCCCGGACTGTTTTTGGCCATAGTATTTCCCACAGCAACAAAGCAAACTAGGACATGCTGTCAGAATGTGTTAGTGCAATCACTCAGACGCTGCTCCTTAGTGTGCGGCCTCCCCTCTGTTTCTAACAGCTGCTGTTTATTCTGTGCTAGATAGTCTTCCTTTTCAGCCCAGGCCAGCCTTGAACTTGAGGTAGTCCTTCTGCTTTGACCTCCAAAGGGCTGAGATTAGAGGTGTGAACTACTATACCTAGTTCTAAATTATACTTTTATTTTCTCCCACATATAACCACACAATTGAATTTATTTTGTTTCTGTTTTTATTCTGAGGTATCGTCTCATGAAACACAGCCTGGTTTCATCCTTCTGAGGTAGTGGGGCTGACCTTGAACTCAGCAGAAATCTGCTTGCTCCCACCTCTGGAGTGCTGAGATTAAAGGCATGCACTACCATGCCCAGCCTCATCTTCTTAAATTACATTGTGTGGTTGTGTGTGTGTGTGTGTGTGAGTGTGTGCACGTGCACACAAATGGAGTTACAAGCACATCCTTACCTGCACATCTTGGCTTGAGGGTGGAGATAAAACAACAGCCTGTGGGAGTGTATTCTTCCCTTCCACTGAGGCAACCTCTCAGACATCCTGTATTTTCTTATATTAACTTTGATTTTAACTTTCACATTTTAGCCTTTAAACCACTTGAAGTCTGTCTTCTACATAGTTTCAAGTAGAGAGACCCACCTTTCTTCTGCCGGAGGTGAATTAGTTTCTGTCACCACCTGGGACAAATCCCTCTGGGTCTCTGTGGTGTGCCACCTTTATCACACATTAACTTCCCACACCCAGACTGTCTTAAGCTCCCCTCTCTACTCCACTGGCCTTTTCTTTGTTACCTGCCAGCAGCTGGCAGAGCCATGTTTTTATTGGCTTTGTGGTAGATCCAGTTCTACCAGTAGGGCAGGTATCCCTACTTTGCTTTTCCCCTCAAAACCGACTTAATTTACAAAGGCCACAGCCCCACACATCTATAACCCCAGCACTTGGGAGAGGCAAGCAGCATATAGATGAGAATGCGTGGCCAAGAATTTATATGGAAAAAAAATCCTTTCTTTTTCCTTCTTGAATAATAACTGTTCATGTACTCACATATGGGAATTCCCATCTTCCTCTTAAGAAGATGTCAAGTTTATGAGGGAGGAGTTTTGTTTCATTTTCTGCTCTAACCCATGCACGTGCCAGACTGGTCTAAGGTAGCTCCCTGGACAGTTACTAAGCAAATGAATGAAATGTTTTTTTGTATGTGTGTGTGTGGTTTTTCAAGACAAGGTTTCTCTGTATGTCTCTGGCTGTCCTGGTGGTACCGATCTTTAATCTCAGCACTTGGAAGGCAGATAGGTGGATCTCTATGAGTTCAAAGTCATATATACTGTCTGGCTCTTCATACGAAAAGAATGCTCATTCCTTGGTACACTACAATTTAGTTGCAGTCACAGGTAATAACACACACACACACACACACACACACACACACACACACACTCACACACAAATTTTCTTTTATTCTGCTTGTTGAGGCCAGGTATCACTCTAGGTCTAGAACTCTAGCCTCAGCTGGTCTTGAACTCATTGCAGGATGCCTGTCTCAGCCTCCACAGTGTAAGAGCACTCCCAAGTGGTAGATTATTTGCTGAGCATGTTAAAGTCCTAGGGTTTGATTCTCAGGACCACATGAGAAAAGAAAGAGTTTTGCTGCTTGTTTATGACAGGACCTCATACAGTCCACCTTGATCTTGAACTTGCTATGTAGCCAAGGCTGGCCTTAAACTCCTAAGTCTCATGTTGGAGATATGGCTAACTAGTTGCTCTTTCAGAGGATCTCTGTTCAATTCCTAGCACTCACTTGGGAGGATCATAACTGACTGTATCTCCCATCCCAGGCATTCCAAGGCTCCCTTCTGGCCTCTGTGGGTACTGCATACACATA